GACCTAATGGGAGCAACCTTGCTTTTAGCAAGTACGAGATGGACGGAAGTATGGTCAGAAGAGCTCACAGTCCGCAAATATACTACAGCAGCATAGCCCTTCTCAGAGGCGTCGCAAAATCTATGTAGGGTAGCCCTGCATTTCCCTGGAGGGAGGAAGGAACTTGGCATGGAGACCCGGTTGATGTCCGGAAGGGAGAACACTATGGAGATCCATTCTCGCAAGAGAGCACCGCTAATAGGCTCGTCCCAACCCAACCCGAATATTCAGAGCTTGTGAAGAAAGCACTTAGCCAAAAAAATGACCGGAGTGATCCATCCACAAGGATCGAAGGTGCGGACTACTGTAGACAGCACGGAGCGCTTAGTCCATGTTTTAGAAGGGGGATCGAGTTTGACTCGATACGTGAAAGTATCCTGAACAGGCTGATATTGAATGCCCAGCACAGTCAACAAATTAGGATTTTCAGGGTGCTCGAATAGATGAGGATCTTGTTGATCCTCTCCTGGGAGATCCTTCAAAATATGAGGGGAGTTCGACAACCATTTGCGCAACTCATAACCTCCGGACTTCAGGATGGCAATCAATTCGTCTCGCAATACAAGAGCCTCCTCGACGGTGGAGGCGCTAGTGCCAATGTCGTCCATGTAGACCGAAGTCTCCAAAGTAGAAGCCCCCCGAGCGCATCTTAGAATCTCTCTCAGCGATTTCGAGGAGGGTTCGCATGGCGATATACGGGCTAGACCGGAGTCCATAGGTGGTGGTGTTCAACTCAAACACCTGTATCGGATCGCTGGGCTTCTCGCCGCCACAATATCAGCTGATATCGACGGTCATCACGATGGATCATTGATTGTTGAAACATCATCCGAATGTCGGCTACAAAAACCACTTGGTGCCGACGGAAGTGGGTCAAAATGTCGGATATGTCCTCGATCAATTTAGGACCAGAGTGGAGACAGAGAGTGGACACACCATTTGACGAGGGAGCGAAGCCGTCAAAAACTACCCGGATCTTACTCCCAGGGGTCCTCAAGACCATATGGTGAGGGAGGAAGTAGTCCTGTGACCGCCAGTCGAAGTTTAACGGTGACATGTGAGCCAGCTCTTGATACTCGCGCATGAACTCGACATATTTGTCGCGAAAGGTTGGGTCGCGCCGCATACAGCGCTCCATGGAAAGCAACCTCTTTTCGGCCAGGGTACGAGATTGGCCCAAAGGGGAACGTGAGTCAAGAAAGGGTAAGCGAGTGACAAAACGACCGTCGACACGACGACCAGTATTGTTCTGGTAGAACAACTCGCACTCACAGTCCAGAGGGTTGACTCGAGCCGCATGTGGTGGCTCCTCAATTTCCCAGAACCGCTGGACGACGTCCGAAAGGGACACGCCCACAACATAGAGCGGGTCGGCCGTCTGAGGAGGTGGAGACCACAGAACCGGTCCAAAGAAGCTGTGCTCAAATACAGTGGACATGGCTCACAAGCCATCGGGCTGTAGGGCTCGTATCTCGCCTAACAAGATGAAGCCTAGCACGTTGGCCCACAGCAACAAATCTATGGGCCCAGGTTGGAACCACTGAGGGTCTGCCGGTCTCAAACCCGACGCACAACGAACTGCGCTGTCATTTATACGGACGTTAGGGAGAAAACCTACAATGTCATCGAGGACAATTACTTTAACAAGAATGTCAAGGTGTTCGCTGGCAGGGCCAAACACCAACTCCGCTTGTCCCCTAGGAGCAGGAGGCTCGGCACCTCCGATACCTACCATTGGACGTGATTCAGAGCTCCAGGGGAGACCTAGTCTTCCCACCAACCAAGTGGAGGCCACACAGCGTTGTGAACCCGAATCCAATAGAGCGCGAACCGTTAAACATTCGCCACTCGGGTTGTACACTTTCACTGAGGACGTCGGCAATAGAACAGTTTGACAAGTGAACTGGTGACGGCTCAAAGGATCAGTGGAGGCGGCCGTGGTGGGAGCTAGGGCGGAAGCTACCTAGCCGGAGCCGCCTACATCGGACCGGCACTGGAACCGGGGTTCCCAAAAGCGGCATTAAGGCGGCATCTCAACGACCCGTGGTTGGAAATGACTGAACGGGCCGATCTGGGGAGCTTCGGGGAACCTCGGCCTTGAGGCCCGGGACAGATTCGAGGTCGCAGGAACCCCGTAGTACCGGTACTGACTAAAGGGGGGAGGGTGTTACTCCAGTCGCGGTCGCTCAGATAACGGGAGTGAGAAGGGTAACTAGCTGACCGCTGAGTGGCCGTGAAGTTCCTCTCAACACGCGAGGGGGCGACCACCACGACTGGATTTACGATGTCCGGTCGTAGTCTGGCCCGGTCCCTAAGCAGCGGGAGGTTTAGAAGCTGCCTAACGTAATCATCCGCGATTCGCCAGACGTTGGCGTATCTTCCGGCGAGGAGGTCCCGAGCAGTCTGGTAGGCGTCGTCCGACAATCTCAAATGGACGACGACGCCCAGGGCCTCTCTTTCCAGTGAGGCCAGGAGGTATACCATCTTCTGGCTTGGTGTCAAGTTCCTCCGGGCGTCTACTAGGCTATCAAAAAGGCCAACAAAGGTCATCCAGTCGGAGAGAACCCCGGAGAACCTTGGCAGTTCCAGAGTTGGGAGTCATCCCAACAGCTCCGGCTGAGTAGGCTGCTTCCGAGGGGACTCGGGCAGGCCACTCAGCCGAGCTTCATGCGCTTCATTAGCATACTTGGCCCCCGCCTCGATCAAGTCGTCCGTGAGTGAAAAGAATTGCTCGTAGTCCGCGAGGCAGGAGACTAGGTCTCCTTGTTCCGCATCCGACGCCACAAGCTCAGTGTAAGCCTCCTCTACTACGGCCCTTCGGGCAGCGACCTGCTCGAGCCGCTTCCCTAAACTATGGTCCCGATCGTTTCGCCCTATAAACTTGTGGGCATTCGCGGCCCAGCGTAGCTCCGCCTGCAAGCGAAACGCCGATGGCTTGTGCGATGGCATCACTACTAACTACAAATTTCTATTAAATTAAATTAAATACAAATTACACTATACGGCAAGTACACACTACAGTCGGTTAGCAAGATGCCTCGCCCAGGCGACCGACCCTTCGGCAATTTAATCTACCTACCCAAAATACTTGACGCGTAGGTACCTAACCTTAAACTTCACTCTTGCTTTCGCAGCCTAACGGGCGGGGTTCTAATTGAAACCACCGATTCGCTAACAAAACACAAAAAATTTTTTTTTTATTATTACGGCCAGGCGTGATTGGGGAAACAATCAACCACGCTCTGCTACCAGAAATTGTTACGGCCCTCAGTTGCCCCGACGGAAGTCGACTGGGCTAGGGCCCATGAGTAGCTCACTCGACGAGCAACCAGTAGGTTCGGGCCCAAAAGGCCTATGGATATTATTAACTAATGGCTGATTAGCAAACACAAACTTACCGAGTTCCGGAGGTAGGGTTAACAACAGGGTATCAGTCAGGTGGTAAGTAAGGTGTATGTAAGTAGTGTGCGAAAGTGTGTATAAATGTAACCTGACGTCACCGATGTAATCGGACAGCAGACCCACAGACGCTGTTTTTCTCCACTATGTGCGATCCCTCCATTGGGCGCTCACCAATTGAGACTTTCAGCTTTTGTTTTACTATATTAGTTTATCAATTTTATTGAACATTTAATTAACTTCAAATTTAACTGAATCAACGTTAGTCGAACTTAAAAACAAGTGACACACTGCACAACCCAAGAACTGTGGGTCAAAGTTCAATGTCCCATGTTCACTTAGCACAAAACTATAATCGAGAACGAACGTGACCTCCTCTCGGGTCACACAGTTTTAGCGTTCCACCCGACAAAGCAAAAATTCCTTCGTACGATATTAAAATGCCACAAAAGCAACTCGTCGACGCAAATTAATGGCAAACGTTCCGAGCGTAAATTTTAGACCATCTAACCGATACGGCGGTCGCGAACAATTAACTCGCCCACACCTCAGGCGACCGAGCAGTCAGCCGATAGACTCGCGCGGGAGAGGGGGCCGGCGGTGACCTTATATTCCATCGGAAGGACTTGCCGAGACGCGCGTCTTGAATGCAAGTTTTTAAAATGTTAATATTTGGCCTAAACAATTATATTCTTTTATATATTTATTCAGCCCAACCAGATGATAATTTATTATAAATACTTCCAACATAATGATAAATGTATTGAGAAATAAGACCTTAAACATAACACATAATATTATTGTAAATAAATTGTAATTAGATGGCTAGCATAAAATGTCCTAGAAATAAGTTGAGCCCCTGACTTTCATGCAAGGGTAACCTGTGTTGTGAAGGTCGGTGGTTCGGCTCTTGAAAAGGTATTCTATAAATAGCTTAGCAAGTTGATATTAAAAAATTCGTAATTTTGGCAAGCATATTAAGCAAGCAGTTAAAGAAAAAGAAAAGGCACACACAAACGCGCGTGCGCGCGCGCGTGTGTGTGTGTGTATGAGTGTGTGTATGTGAGTGTGTGTGTGTGAGTGTGTGTGTGTGTGTGTGAACGTGATTTCGTATCTTATTTGGGTGTGTTGCAATTACATTGACAAAACCCACAGGAGCAATTGTGTGAGTCTTATAGAGAATGAAATTAAGTCGCCGTGTCACAAGTAACAATGATTAACATTAAGATAGAAGTAAGTCTCAAAGCTTATTTTGGTAGAACAGGAATAACATAGACCCCAAAATGTTAACCTTAGGGACTTAAAATTCAAGTTACCAAAATGTTTCCCCGAGGGTCTTAAAACTCTTGTTTGCTAACGAAAAAACCTATGCTCTGCGGTGTACTTTGATAGGCTGAACTGAATAAATGAATGAATTCTGAAAAAGCGTGTTCATTGCTATATCAATAATATAGTAGCAGCATGATTATAGTTACTAGACACATTCTCAATAATGCTGCAATTGGAAAAAAACGTTCATCAAGACCAGAAATTCACTGATCTGAGCACTATATAATACATACCTGAAATATCGGTGTAATAACATATTAAATGGGCTTATGGTTCTCCCTGTCTCTGGCTTGATGGTCTTCATCAGAAGAAGTCCAGACATCATGAAATACGTATCTACGACTACGCTTCCGTGCGATAGGAACCCTAAATACTGTTTGAAACTCTGAAATATAGTTTTGAACATTTAATAAGTGAGATATTAACTAGAAAAAAGTTCTTTCCTTTTAATAATCTACTTTTTCTATGTCCTATAAACGTTACAGTCGATTAAACTGTTTATCTGTTTTTATTTAAATAGTAAAGATGACAAAGTTATTGGTGCGGTATACCACCGATAACTTTGTCAATTCAATACTAACTGACGATAATTAGTAGTTTTCAGATTTTTCCTTTCAATATACCTAATAAACTGAGTTACCTAGAAGTGGCCTAGGATTTTCATAAGTAAAGAATACTTTTCTGTTATCTCAAGAACTGAAGAACTACAATATATTTATTCCTCAATTCAAGGAGATCTCATTAGTTATGATAATTTTTGAGTCATAAGGGGTTCCAATGTGGCTCGAAATGGTTTATAAATATAGACACTATCTGCGCGTCACTCTTTTGTTTTCCTAACTTGCTTGATATACTGCAGTGTTCCTTTTGTTATCGTGGGAAAATCGTCAGGATTGTAGGGCAACAGAAAAGTATGCCGGACTGTTAACGGCTAAAATATCACGGTGGTCTGCATCAGCGTACATGAGGGGTCTCGGGATCTCCATTCAAAACGCAAGGCCCTGCTTGCGTTCTGATCTCTCTTAATTTATTGGAAGCACGTCCCTGGGGCAGTACTTAATGTTCCCAGTACCCTCGTAGTGCTATCATGATGTCTCTGGACCACTTTCAAGTCATCGGTGACATGCTAGTGGTTTCCGCCTCGAACCCCGCAACTCCAGAGACCCAATTTTTGGTAGGGGAAACCAACATATAGGGGAGGGCTGTAACGACCGCCTTGACGACGTCGTCTCCGAGTGAAATGGGGAGGACAGTCCCTCGATCCTGCTCAGCAGCCTATTTCTGTATCGCTGAGTTGTCGCTCAGCATCACCGACACAACTACTGGCAGGAAGAGGATCGGACCGATCCGGCTCACCAGTGTCCTCCGCTCCCGTTCCCACGCTGGTAATACTGCGATCGTATGGAACGTGGAGTCTTGGTTCTGCCCACTGCAGTGAAAGCAGTTCAAAATCTAAAATAATGATGTAGGTGAGTATGTAATGTTGAGATTAACTTTATTTTCTATTTAATTAGGTCAATCGCCCTCGCATAACTTTGATACATAATTATTGTTTGTAATTTCCTTTACTTTTATTTTGTGACTTTGAATGAATTAATGATGAATGAATGAAATGGTGTACAGCAGGTCTGCCACTATTCCCTCTCCAGTCCATAACATTTCCAGTAATACTCTGTCATATCCAGCTGTCTTGCCTGCTTTCATGGTTTTCATTGCTTTCATTATTTTATCTATACTGATCTCCCTATCTCTTTCCTCTTCTTCGGGAATTTATATTTCATTTAATAAAAACCTCTCGTCATTCACAAATACGCTTTCAAAGTGTTCTTCCCATCACTTTAAATTTGAAACTTCGTTATTTAGAATACAGCCATTCTGGTCTTGTATAACATTCATTATTATTCACAGAGACTTACCTGGTCACGTAAATTTATATTGATTTTTATTTTTGTTATATTTCAACAAACGGCATTTTATATACAAGAATAAGAGGGGGGGGGGGCTGGGAGACCGTTTCGCCGGCTTAGAGAAAACAGTTCCGAATGAAAAATTGCTTGATTTTATTTTTCTCTTCGTGAAAATATCTCTATATTTATCTATTTTCCGGGCTGCATTCTTCATCATTTTCGGCCATCACTGAAAATTTGCAGTGTGGTTTACTAGTAATGTCCTTTGTTAGAATGCCTGTGGTCAAATTAAATACTCTTACATATATTTAAGTTATAAATTTCTATATTGTTGTCGTAGTCGTAGTTCTGTGATACAATATATGTTCTAACAATAGTTAAGCTAGCATGCAGAGTTTAAAAATTATTTTTAGAATAGGCACAAAAATATCAAAAAGAAAGTGTTCTCTAAAATAAGGAGCATCTATATTGATAAGTATTGAACAACAATACAAACATGTAGTGCTAGGAATTACTATTTTTATAATATTGGAGTTTAGCCGAGCTACAGTCCACCTGATAGCTAGTAATTGCTGCAGCCCAGGGATAATCAAACCTCAAAACAAAGAAGATACCTGTAGCGTTGTTACATCTAAGAATATGAAAAACACCCATGCCCAGTAACTGCATTGCTCCACTTACCCTCTACTCAAATAGGAACACAACAGTTGTTAAAATTGTAGTTGTCAGAGTTCGGTAAGAGAGTTGTATCTACCAAGACGGACTACTAGGCAGAAAGCTGATCTCCTCCGAAAGGGTTCCCGCCTTGTTGTGGCGGGGGGGCTTAGCAACCGCGTGAACTATGAGAAACCCACATGGCTGATGGTTCAGATGTGAGTTGGTGGACTGCGGTGAGAGGAGTTTCTCATCCCCCTACCGCTGCAGCCGAGGTGGAATCGCAGGAGAAAAGGAGTGTTAGTATGATGGTGCGCCACTCGCAACTCTGGTGGGGCCGCACCGTTGATGTGGTACTTGTGAAGCTGCGGGGCGCCTTATTACAAGGCACCTATCTTCCTAGCCTTTGCAGTCAAAACTTGGTTGGCGGCGGAGCCATCCACCAGATCCGCCTGGGATTAGGTAAGTGGATGCCTTCATGTGCTCGTTTTTTCTGGCCCTAGGGGAGGCCGCGGATGAAGACACGCCTTGTGTTTTTGGTACGCCTTCCCAGAGAAGCGAAACGGAGAGGAGTAGTCCTTCCTCGAGAAGGGGTTGCATGGGGTGACTAGTGGGGCCGCGGATATATGTGATAGCGTTCCCGTGGCCCTACCAATATGCTATGAAAGTGGATTACCATGGGATTTAGTCGGTGCGTGTCTGACATAACCTGTCCTTGCCCCCGCGAACCGGGTATGCGTAGGCATTTCCCCATGTAAAAAAACCAAGGCAGAAAGATTATAAGGCTTTCTATGTGTTAGGAATAAAAAATAACATATTTTTAAATATGTTCACACAGAAGAAAGTACTACTTAATACAGCAAAAACTTACGTCATTTATGTCTAAGCAATTTCCAGCTCTGAACGTGATATTCATAATAATTACGTGAAGGAACACTACGATGCAAGCCGTTAAAAATCGGATACCATGTATAACTTTGATTTCGTCTTTTCCTACGGAAATGAAGTCTGCTGCATTGCTGTTGAGGTCAAATGCGCTAACAATTTTCATTACTGTAAAAAATCAGAAGCAATTCAAAACATAATTGATGGATTGACAGCATTGTGACTTTAGTTGTGGTGTGTTCTGTTCTGGTACGATGCTTAAAATAAATTGTATGGCTTACGAATTATTGTCCCAAGTCTTGCTGTTTGTTCACTGAAATATTCGGGCAGATTTCAAATAAGCCATAGTCTACAAACCAAATCTACATAGTTTAGCCTGAAAATTACGACGAAGTTGCAGAATTTAATGCACAGATCTTAGCTCAAACAGTAACGCTTGTGGTATGACACTCTTAGTCTGTAAAAGGAGTTAGGGCCCGTGTCTCGCGAAGGAAATAAACCAGGAGTTGCGGCAGTGTTTTGCTAGCATAACAAGTGCCTTTCAAGCGTGGCAACCCAAAAATATCATCCTTATATGACAATCTATAGGAAGGTCTATTTTCACTTTGATAGACTGTAATAATGAAGATGATCTGATCACTATTACACAATATTATTCTAACTTCCCAATTAGTACGGTTTGAAACAATTTACAGATAAACCTGTAAGTCATTTGCATACGAATGATATTATCAGTTCAGAAATATATATATATATATATATATATATATATATATATATATATATATATATATATATATATATATATATATATATATATAGCATATGATAACTGATACTATATGTACTTAACAATATAATAAAGACACGTATACCTATGGAGTTTGATTTAGATGCTAGATGCTTCGATGTAAAATACGTAAATGCACATGCGATTACCGTCAGTAGAACTGCACCCAGCCTGGAAATAAAAAAAAATATACTTTCAGACACTAATAATTATATTGAGTGTCGTTAAACCACTATTTCATTGAAATTTGTTCATAAAATGAGTAAATGATAAATTTAACAACTCTGATGGTACGTGTTATAAAATAAATAAATAATATAAGCTCAATATTTTACCGCCTTTTAAACAAAAATGTTATAAATTATTTACATCTGACTACCTATGCTCTTTCTCCCGGACCGCCGTAAGGTGCTTACTTACGTGCTACTACGAAAATAATCAGCAAGGAAACATAGGAACGCTAAATCAAGGAGAAGTCGACACCAGTCTGCGAATAATAATTAGCAATATCCTGCACAACACTTTTGCCCTGGTACTTTAAAGTTCATCGCCAACTTAACACTGGCCACGTTAGTGATGAAGCCTAAGAAATAATGGACTATTTTTGAAATAATATACGTAAGAAAAGAGTGAGTGAAGAATTTTTTTTGGAAGAATAAGGGTCAAAAACGGCCACACAGTCCACCTGATGTTAAATTAATTATCTTGCCTATAAACATCCATCCTCGATTAAGAATCGAAGTGCAGATGCGTTGTCGCTTCTCAGGACTATCCCTTAAAAGTGACATTCCATCTGGAATGGCGTAATTTCCAGTAAAAAGTGTCTTTGGTTCTCAACACTCCCCATACAAAACACAACAGCGTTGCAATACTATTTTACGCTTGTATTTTGTGAGTCCTTGGTCCTACCCCGGGCGAACCCACCCATTCTTGCTACAATCCTAATATAGCTGCAGCTTTGCTCTACCACGAAAGATGACGGCTAAATGAGAAGAATTGAAGAAATAAACTTACCACGTCGATCGAAAATAACTTGGGATAGGGGCAGAAAGAAAAAGAAAGTTAAAGCGAAAAGGATAATAACGAAAAAGGAAAGTGGGAAATACTTACATGAGTAGGTACAGTCCTGTACTATTCGCTGAAGGAATTTGAGTAACTTGGCAATTTCCAACCATAATTTTAGGATTGGGATTGATTGTTCCCAAGTGACTAATCCTTAGTAAGGTGCGGACGAATCTTTCAACTGACCGCGCTTGGCATGCTTTTGGTGTACACACACCCCAGGACAAAATATTAAATTTTAAATTATAATCAGTTTTGATCTGCAAAAATATTTAAAAAAGATGACTAGATAAATTAGATGAAGTTACAAAATATGAAAAATTCGACTTTTGATGATATTCATCCAAATATGTACAGAACAAATTCTTTTATTGATTTGAAGTAATATTTCAAGTAATGATAAGTGTCAGGAGAATCAGCATATTAGTTTAGACTAAAAGAATTAAATTTTTTGACGACTCGGTTCGATACCCAATCGTTGTTCCGTGTGGGCATCGAACCTAACTGTATTGCATATAATAGTTGTTTTTGATCTAGATGTTTGTTTTTGTGCTATTAGTTGTCTGCACGCAAAGTGGGGTATTGTATTAAGAACATTTTTCAGCCCTCCTCTCTCTTACTCTAATTTTCGTCCGTCCATCAACAACCTACTGCTGAGACTGTCGCGTGTAAGATTTGCCCTAATCGACACTCTTAGCAAGTGAATTAGCAATTAAAGTACAAGAAGTTTCGTCAGAAAGATATTTTTTATGTGACATAAATGAGATAATTATATAGTCATCTATCGGAAGCTATTTAGTCTTTCAGGCACGTCCTACTATATCCTCTTACGACCACCAACGAACGAAATTGACGAACTATTACGTAATTACACTACAATTATTCAATGATATTTAGAAAAATTAACAATAATTTCATCTTTGCTTTGTCAATACTCCTCTACTATAAACATCATCATCATTATCATCACTATACCTCATCACGAGACCACTGTTGAACGCAAGCCTCCCCTAAGAACCCATAAAAACTTGGTCCTGAGCCACTTGAAACCAACCATATTATAAAAAAAATACTTGTTCTTTTCCTTTCCTCTTTTAAATTATTTATAAACTATATGTGCGCCAATTTCTGTAATACGTAATAGAAGAATGTCAAAACTAAAAAAGTCGATTACTTACGTGAAAATATCTTTCAGCTCTATCATATGGATTTAAGTCGGTAATTTTTTTGTCAACTTTAGTATCTGCTAGTGTGATATCTACGAGACAGTACTGTGTGAAAATCAGATTATCGTTTGACCACTCTCTACGGAGGCACTGATCGAAGTTACCCAAATGATAACGAGCTCCATAGAATTGACCAGTGGGAAACTGAATACTATCCCAAACTGGAAAATAGAAATAAATGATAATAGTAATCCGGAAGACAGGATTTTATTTTATTAATAAAATAAATAATCTTAGAATACAATGGATAGAATAAAATGCAAAAGCCGCTACAGAGAAGAAAGAAAATGAAAAAATTGCTCTTTGAAACTTTTCAATTAATATGTTTGTGAATGGAATTGGATTCGCTTTGTTTGTCAATCTCTGAAAGATTTTGTACAATTAAGATATGACATGCTTGTAAGTTTGTGACAGTTTTGTTAACCCTATTTGCATTATGATTAATTATGTACGTGATTACTTAACGTGGTAGAGCCATACTGCAGCTATATTAGCAGTATAGTTGTAGCACTAATGGGTCGGCTCGACCAGGGAAGGACCACGCTCTCACAGGAAACCAGCGTAAAATAGCAGCTTAACACTGCTGTGTTTCGTATGGTGAGTGTAGAGAACCGGAAACACTTTTTACTGGAAAGGAGGCATTCTACCTTAGTCCTCACGGGTGACAACTCATCTGCATTTTGATTTGCAAACGAGGATAAATGTAGATGTCTATGGGCCACAGTAACCACTTACCATCAGGTGGACTGTGTGCTGGTTTGTCACCCTATCCTATAAAAAAAATATTCTGATTAAATTTGGTTACTATTATAACTTTAACTGATGTTTAATCAATTACTTAAGGTTTAAAACTGTTTTTCAGGATTTCATACGGCATGCATGTTACCTATCGCACGCAAGCGTGATGGAAGATACGTATTTTATGATGTCTGGACTTCTTCTGATGAAGAGCTTCAAGCCGGAGACAGGGAGAGGGCCACAGTAATCACTTACCATCAGGTGGACTGTGTGTTCGTTTGTCACCCTATCCTATAAAAAAATGATTTCTTAACATGTTTCATGAAATAATTAAAGGACCTTCTGAATGTGAAATTATTTTACACTTTTAGTTCGTACTTTTTATTTACACTTAATTTTTTACCCTTTAGAGTGAACTAAGGAATATCAAAATCGCAGTAAATATGTAGTTACATTGGAAACTTCACCATATTCTATTTTGCCACATTTGAGTGTAGATGTTTTTCTTTGAATTTATAATAGGACCGACCACCCCTGAATGTTACCTATTTAATAAAGAAGTATCATCACAATCATTTGGGGAATATATCGCGTAGCATACGTACAAAATACATACAGTCGAATTGTAAACTCCTCGGTTTTGAAGTCTGATCGAAATGATCCCTATTGTAGTATTCAAACAGACTAAGCAAAAATAAACTTTTTGGCATTAACTCTCACTGTTAATTCAGGAAAGAATTGTAGGTTTATTTTTTTTACACTACTGTTATTCAGCTCTGTATTCTGTAGCATCGCCTTGGTATTTTAATGTTTGAGGGTTATGCAAATAGTATTTTTGAGGGAATTTTTGAGGCCAAACAGTATGTTTCAATAGGTGGAATCCAATCTTGTGAGACATGCAAGAAGTCGGTTGATCCATGTGACTTAAGACCGTATTTTGTGGCATTCCTTACGAGAGGAATGGACCTGAATGAACATATTTTGTGAATATATATAATGAAATGAACATAGGTTCAGCAGCGGAATTGTGGAGGATAATATTATATAGGAATATTTTTGGTGCTTGCCTTAAGAGCAGCCTCACACTACATTAAAATATAATATTTTTTTATAAAAAAAAATATTATTTGGATAGATTTAATATAGTAGGATAAAATAATATTGTAAAGTAGGGTTGGCAACCCTCGTTCGAAATCCCAAGAATTGATCAATGTGTTCTATATGTACGTTAAACGCCTTAGGATACAAGGTGAAAAGCATGAGTAAAGCTTTTTTTTTAATATACTTACTCCAAGTGGCCCATAGCGTAGAGTTTCTAACATTTATCAGAACTGTTAAAATCTGATCGTAACACGGTTTTTCACTTTCATCCCATTCTTGATCCTGTAGATCTTCTATCAATAAGTCAATGTAAGTTGTCGGTTTTTTATGTACTATGGATTTTGTATCCATCGAGTTTTCATTGATAATATTTTCAGTCTCAGTACATTTGACAATATCTGTAAATATGACATAATGTATTAATTAAATGAAACAAATTTTTACAGATTTTATCTCGTTTAATATAACTTATTAATTCCCGACATTTAGGGTGCTTTACAGCCACCATGTTCACGGGGGGACTGAGGTGTTTGACGTGCCGAGGTCATAGTTAGCCCGGCTATTTTCAGCTTTTGGATATTAATTTTTGGTCCAATCATTATATCGTTTTAAATTATATAACAATAATAATAATATAATATTAAACTAAACGGGAACCACATGGTTTTTGTTGGTTTTTGTCACATATATTTACCGAACACCAGAAGAAAAGTTGCCGTTAAAGCAAACTGTGTTTTCATTTTCTCTTCCTTTCTGAACTACGAGTATCTTCACCGGCTGCAGTCAGACAGCAGGGCAGCTTCGCAACAACTTAATTATTATTTTTGTTTGACTACCTGGCTAGAAGTACACAATAATTATCTTACTTTCTAGATAGCGTCTCCACAAAAAACACAAAATTCGACAAATAACTGAAGAAATTTCGCACACAAAAACAAGTTTAAAACAATAGGATGACAAATAATAGCTTCGATTGATTAATAATCTACTTATAATGTCGTGTCTTTTTACGCAAAACAGGAGATTGATTACATGAATATTAAGAAAAAAACATATATTTATTATTTACCCGCTATGAACTGTTTCTTGAGTCTTCGGAAATTTCCTGCAACTGTTTTGTTTTATACGCAACGAAACAATGTTGAAGAACTAGAAGTTTCTGCTGGTAACCTTTGACTTTCATCATAATAACACGCTACGTTTAATATTAACTAGCTTTTGCTCACGGTTTCGCCCGCGTTGCTGTTGCAAAACAACAACACTTTGAAGTCTAACTACGACTGACAGTTCTTTAGTATAGAGTTCATATTGGCTATGACATGACGTATATTATGATATCCATCCATCCATTCAGTTATAAAAGTCCAATGCTGATTATCCTATACATATTATGCATTTGGATGGCAACCACAGTATATTTTTTTAAATTTTGAACTGTTATCAGGAAGGGTCTGCTGCCCATCTCCTCTTTCAGTTTCCCTCTGTCTAAACAAAATTATTTTTACCCGACTTCAAATGAAGGATTTTAACAATTCGACTGAAAGGTATTTTTGTATCTATGTTATGCGATATGCTCGCTTTTTGTGAAACGATATAGATGTTTTTTTTTCACGGTTGTGTTTTTGCGGTGGTGCCTTTTAAATTTGAAGAAAAGTTCCACTCATTAAAGTAGCAAAGATGAATGAGTGATTACATGGGATGAAATTTTTAATGGCCTACTTAAAAGAGTAAAACGGTAATATATACAAATAAATAAAATTGAAGTGTCTGCTTGTAATGTCAAAATTACAGTTTTTTTTTACTAAATGCATATGAAAGTAAATACAGTACTTATAACTAAAATACAATTTTTTAAATTTTTGTCTGTCTGTCTGTTTGTTCCGGGTAATCTCCGAAACGGCTGGACTGATTTTGACGGGATAGGCTATATGTTGTCGGTAAAACCTGGAGATTTTTTTATAAGAACAAAAAATTTATCTTAATATAAATGGCAGTTACTATCTAGCCAAGGCGGGACAGATCGCATGTATATCATACTTGTTGCTGCGATGTTCCAAAAATATGTTATTATCTTTATGTTTTACATTTGGGAAGTTGGTTATTGTTATTTTTTACGTTGAATTTCAATTTACAAGCGTTTGACTCATTAGGAAAACATACCAAGAGGCATAACCGTGACTTTGATTAGCTTGAAACCAAAATTGTTTTTAATATTCAACAATTACAATCGTTAAGAAAATTTTACAGTGTTGTTTTGTGTTAGGAATGTTTATAATATGACGTACTCATTAATTACGACTTCAGACACCTTGAGGTTATCTTTAGATGTTCGTCTTTGATACGAAGAACATTGATCATATTATTCATATTACATATTATGATTTTTATTTTATCTTATTTCCAAACATATACAATAAAAAACTGCAATTTCATAAAAGTTACAGTAAAGAAATGTATTATTCCACATTTCTTTTTCATAAAATACCTGCGACATCACACGTTTTTAAAAAAAAATAAAGAATCCAAACGATCGTACAGCCCATCTGATGGTAAGAGAATATTGGGGGCAAAGTATACGCTTTAGAATAGAATAGAATAGAATATTTTTTATTCAATATTGATTACAAGTAATTCTTATTGACAGTAATTTTTTTAATTTACCACTTGTTCGAAAAAATCTTCTGTCCTGGAAAGAACCAGCAAGAAACCCAGCGGGACTTTTCTTAAAAATAAGTTTTACAATATAAACGATTCCAAAGTATTTACAAAATTTATTTTAAGCTTGGAAGCGACTACCGCTCAGGGGTTATTATCAACCATGTATTCATTTATATTATAATAACTGTTTATGTCCAAATTTGGCCATGTTTAACGCCCTCCAATTGTGTTCGAGCTGTCGCGTCACTTTAAATTCTCGTAACTGAGAGGTCCAAGTAAATATATTTAATTCTTTAAAAATTTCTCTAAGAGACTCTCTCGTTTTAAGGTTGTAAATAGCTCTTGTGGCCCTCTTCTGCAAAAAGAAATAAAGCTTTTATAACAAACTCCTGACAGGACTTATCTACCAAAAAGTTAAAGTTTTTATTGGGCAAAAATGGTTTAAAAACAGTTATTACACTACTAGAGAGCGCCTGATTGATAATTGTCTCTGAGAATGACGTGATAACTACCATCATGTTTCTTATTTTTTTCATATTTAGATAAAAGCAGGCGGTATTTATGTGTGTCGAAACAACACCTCTCCACCTCATTCCTATCATAACGGCGGTCGATTTGATAAAATTATGATTGCAAAATAAAAAATCCTTCTGATTATATAGCGATGTTATTCTAAGTTATAAGTAATATAAGTTACGCATGCTTACACAATACACGATTATACTATATAATATAGCTCATAACAGGTTAACACAAAACAACTTGCAAATTTATCACACAAAATATTGAAGTATCAATGTATCATTACTCTTCACGTTGAAACAAAAAATTTATTGTGTCCTTATTAACTTATTATAATGTAAAATATTATGACAATATATCAATAGTTATTGTCACTGTCGTTCTTTTTTATCTCTTGTTATTTTCTTTCCTTGTAAAATCTTAAATGTCTCATTATCGTGGTAATATTTAAGCATTCACTATTTATTTTTTCATCGCGTGTACTTAATATTTATTATCATCATCATCATTACAGCCCTTCACCAGATCACTGCTGAAATTAAGCCAAGGAATGCCGCAGAGCACAGTCCTGAGCCACCTGCATTCATCGACTTCCTTATGTGTTACCAGGTCATCACTCAAACTAGTGGGTGGCCGCCCCACAATTCGTCTACTAGTACGAAGCTGACACTCGAGAACATTTCTTCCCCATCGGTTGTCGGTTATTCGAGCAATATGGCCGGCAAGTATATTCTTTACTGAAGACTGTTAACTTATCATTGGCACAGTCTATTTTGTCTTTTTGTATTACCTCATGGAGTGGAGCTCGTAAAACTCATCTCATAAAATTAGAAAGAGCGCAGCGTATATTACTCAAAGTAATGACATTTAAACCATTTAGCTATTCCACAGACAAACTACTCGTATATTCAGAATGTGACGTATTGACAGTTAGACAATTATATATTAAAGACGCTGTTATATTCCAACATAAAAAACTTACATATAATCTTGAATTAACAATCAATCGCCGGAAAGATATGGTCCGAGAGCTCATGACGCATTTTTCATGAAGTGTTTGATGCATCATGAAACTTTGTTTAAAGGTATCAGTCGACTCAATAAGCAGGTATATGACTGTCTGCCTGGCCTACCTGGGTACACCTGGTACTGCGCATACAGTTAAGTCGAAAAAAAATTTGCCCAAAAAAAAGTGTTTGATTCAAATAATAATAATGACTATCCGTTAGCTAAGTTTATAAACAATTAAGAAAAAAAATGGCAGACACTTCTGAAGGGGTTTACATAGGGGCAGACGACCACAAAGTTGTATTTTCAAAAATTCCAAAAAAAGTGTTTGATTCAGTCTGCCATTTTTACAGCGTGTTTATTATGTATAATAAAATATTCTCACAAAAAGGCAGACAGTTTCTCCGGGGGTTACTAATTTAAAAATCTATACAAATAAATAATCACTTTTTAAATGGTCCATATTTCCTATCATAATAATTAATACATCTGTATCACATGATTTGATAAGTACATTGACAGCAGAATCCGATTCCAATTGACAAACATGAAAATAATTATACTTTTTTAAGATTATTTAAATAGCTGCTGATAAAATAAAAAGCTGTTCCCCGCGACTTCGCCCGCATGTAATTTAGGGTTTTATTTTTTTTGCGCGGTACCCTAATAATTTTTTTTAAATTTAAAAGCAGCCTAAAATACTCGTTATAACATCAATTATCTGCCAGTGAAAGTCCCGTCAAAATCGGTCCAGCCATTTCGGAGATTAGTCGGAACAAACAGACAGACAAAAATTTTAAAAATTGTGTTTTTGTTATAAATATCGTATATAATGTCTTATGCGTTTAGTAAAAAATTGTTATTTTGAAATTAAAAACAGACATTTAAATTTTATTTATTTGTATAGATTTTTAAATTAGTAACCCCCGGAGAAACTGTCTGCCTTTTTGTGAGAATATTTTATTATACATAATAAACACGCTGTAAAAATGGCAGACTGAATCAAACACTTTTTTTGGAATTTTTGAAAATACAACTTTGTGGTCGTCTGCCCCTATGTAAACCCCTTCAGAAGTGTCTGCCATTTTTTTTCTTAATTGTTTATAAACTTAGCTAACGGATAGTCATTATTATTATTTGAATCAAACACTTTTTTTTGGGCAAATTTTTTTTCGACCTAACTGTATGCGCAGTACCAGGTGTACCCAGGTAGGCCAGGCAGACAGTCATATACCTGCTTATTGAGTCGACTGATACCTTTAAACAAAGTTTCATGATGCATCAAACACTTCATGAAAAATGCGTCATGAGCTCTCGGACCATAAGGTTTGTCATTGACATTTTAAATCATATTTTATAACTAAATTTCAATGCTACTTAGGTCCTATGCTTTACAATAAAATAAATAAAATTCTACAAATTTACCTGCTTAACAAACATCAATGTAAAAAACTACTATTATCTTGGTTAAAAACTCTAAATACAGAAGAAACTGAAAATTTCTTGGTCACTTTAAAATAATATTACATCAAAATAATATATATCTACTAAAAATACTCAAATTATAATAATTAAAGATTATCTCACTTGTATAGCCACTAATAATACTATATTTAACTAATTAAAAGTATAATTTAAAACAAAAATAAAAAAACCTTTGCAAAAACCATGAATTAAATAATTATATAATATGTGTATGTCTGTTCACTGTACATTGCATAACTTTTGTTAAATACCTGTAGAATTGCTAAAGTTATACATCTTGCCTCGTGACAACAATAATCATTTATTGCATTTAAAATTAAGAAATTAATAAAGTTCGTATAAATAGTAGTCTAACCTTTCATACGCATAATAAGTTAGTGTGACGATAAACGCAAAAAAGTAGTACCTAATGTATTTGCAAATTTGTAACGTAATAGATTAAGTAAATCATAATATGCCGTATACTTTTA